TTTGGAAAATTTTTTTATCTCTCCTTCTATTCTGAATGACAGGCTTGCTGGATAGAGGATTCTTGGCTGCATATTATTTCTGTTCATCACATTGAAGATATCCTGCCATTCCTTTCTGGACTGCCAAGTTTCAGTAGATAGGTCTGTCACCACTCTGATAGGTTTCCCTTTGTATGTTAGGGCCCTTTTCTCCCTAGCTGGTTTCAGAATTCTCTCTTTGTCCTTATATTTTGCCAGTTTCATTATGATATGTCATGCAGAAGATCGATTCAGGTTACATCTGAGGGGAGCTCTCTGTGCCTCTTGGATTTCAGCATCTCTTTCCTTCCCCAGATTGGGGACGTCCTCTGCTGTAATTTGTTCCAGGACTCCTTCAGCGCCTTTCCCTCTCTTTTCCTCTGGAATTCCTAAGATACAGATATTATTCCGTTTGATTGTATCGCTGAGCTCTCGAACTCTTCTTTCATGTTCCTGGATCAGACTATCTCTCTTTTTTTCAGCTTCCTCTCTTTCTATAATTGTGTCTTCTCAATCACTTATTCTCCTTTCTGGTTCTTCAGTCGTGCACTGGACGCCTCTCTTTTATTTTGTATCTCCTTTATAGCATTTTTTAATTCAAAAGTATTTTTAAGCTCCATAGTCTTTGTAGCAATAGTTTCTCTGATGTCTTCCATGCCTTTTTCAAGCCCAGCGATTATTTTTATGACTATTATTCTAAATTCTTGTTCAGTTGTTTGGTTATATCTGTTTTGAGCAGTTCTTTAGTTGTCAGTTCTTCCTGGAATTTCTTTAGAGGAGAATTCTTCTGTTTTGTCCTTCTGATTAGCTTTCTATCTTTTGTTAGTTTTAAAAGCTTGTTATGCACTCTGCACCTGTGAGTGCTGCTGTACCAAAGAAGGCTCTTGGACTGTCCAGGGCCTGTCCGTTCAGAAAGTGTTCTTTGAATGGTGTCTCTTGGTCTTTCTTATTGAGACTTTGGTTATTTTATTTTCCTACTCATAGTGGTATTTGGGACTCTCCACCATGTGTACTTTGGCTTCTTTCTTGAGGTAGCCCTGGAAAAGAAAACAGACCGACAACCACACAGGGAACAAAGGCACACAAACACACAGACAAATCCAACAAACACGCAAACTGAAAGGGAAAAAGAAAAAAGGAAGAATACATACCAAAAAAAAAAAAAAAGAGGAAGGAGGGAATACGAATAATAATAAAAATACATAGAAAAGAAAAAAGAAGAAAAGGAAAAAGAGAAAAGCTAATAGACAAAAGACAGTCTAAAGCATGTAACCAGATTTTCCAGCTATAAATAAATAGCTGGGTGTATGCAGTGCTGGTGGAAGAGCAGATACAAAGAGAGAAATGACTGGGCAGGGAGGAAGCGAAATTGGAAATGAAATGACCAGGCAGAGAGACAAAGAGTCTTAATTCAGAGAAAGAAAGTGGGAAATATGCTTAGAGGCGAGGCAAAACAAATGACGATGATGCTACTCAGAGAAACTATATAGTCTGATTATTCCAGAGAGAAAGAGATAAAAAGGTAGCGGTGGATGTGTAGAATTTACATCTGAGAATGGATTAAATGTGACTTCTTAAGCAAACCAGTGATCAGAATTAATGAGGGCAGTGCATCCATGTTGAAAGGGGGGGGCACCTCTCTAGCTGGGATGGGCGTGGTTTTGTCCAGTGTGTCCCACAGGGGTCCTGCATTGGCGGTTGTGGGGAGGAGAGTGGTGGCGCCCCAGTCCCTTCTTGAACCAAGCATTGCAACTCACTTTTTTTGGGTGTGTAAACTCCCTGTGCCGGGGGTGTAACCAAGGTGGGCTGTACTCTATATCCCAAGCCAGGCCTCAATTATCAGATCTCAGTCCGCACGCCCCATTGAAATTGCCCAAAATATAAACTCGCAGGCAAGTCCCTCAGAGTAGTTTCAAGCCTCTCACCTTCCCCCTGGGGATCCAGCCGAGCCAGAAGCACAAAGGCGCGGCCGCCGCGCATCCCCTTCAGGTCGGGCTGGTGAGCAGGGAGCAGTTTCTCCTGGGGTCACCTGGGACCAGTGCGTCCCGCCTAGGGTCAGCTGGACAGCAGGAAACCGAGTTCTTCTGTGTCCGGAGCAGAGGTTTTTCACTTCTCCAGTGACAGGGACAGTGTCTTGAGCATTTTGGCCACTCTTTGTTCCCCTAGACTCACTGCGGCTCCCCGCAAAGGGGGGATCCCTCCCCTCCCTCAGCATCTCCGGTCCCGGCCGGATTTTATCTTTCTCATTTAGCACTCAAGCTATAAGGTTTTCTCAGCAGACTCTGTCTCCTTTTCCTCCCAAACTCCTGGATTCTGTAAGGGTTCCTATAGCTTCAGACCTTCTCCGTTTGAGAGATGGGGGCGAGTGACATGTGCGGAGCTCCCGACTTTGCCATCTTGCCTCCCCCCAAGAATAAATAAACATTTCCTTAAGTCACATCCGTCAAGGGCAGAGACCGGATCTAGCCTCAGTGTTTCATTCCAAGACCTGTGCTTACTCTACCCCACTCATGGTCTTAGTCACCCCAATTTGTCTGCTCGCAGGCAACATCTGCAAGGTCATCTGCTTGTGTGCCCTGTCATAACTACCTTTTTGACTGCTAGATTGAAATGACCAATTTGTATATCCTGTTATATGTCAACAAGTGCTTGAGGCATTGTGTGTTCAATTTTGTGTTTAAATAAAAATCCCTCTCTTATGTATTCCATCTTCTTTTTAGGGAAAATCATTAGGCATTTTGGCAATTGACTTCACTGGATTTTTCAAATCATGAAGGTAGTTTATACAAATTTATATCAATGATAGAACTATAACGAAAGAATGAATTTCTCCTTCCTCCCCTTACGCCACTTCCACCCTCATCCCCATCCAAGGTTAAGTGTGATACATACATATCCTAAGAAACTTCATTTTTATTTGTTATAAAGACTGAAGCCTTGGGAATTTGTCATAGAATTTAGTAATCACAAGAACAATATACAGCATTTTATTTTGTGTTTAGACATTGAGGATTATTTGGCAGTGGACCTGTTAGGAGCTTGATAAAATTCAAGAGAGCCCATGACTTATATAAATCTAAATTAGTAAGATTTACAACTTACTGTTGTCCAGCCACCTCAGTGGAGCAACTAAGATGCAATGGACAAGTCCTATAAACTCAATACCCCTCCCTGCCCTTGTTTATTTGTAAAATTTTATTGACAAAGGGACCTACCTGCTTGCTTAGCTTTTGAGTCTCCTTGTCTGGGACCATCCTGCTTTCCTTCTTGCCAGATCCCATGTTCAGTTATGGATGAGTTTTAGTTGTTAAAGAGAAGAGACAATATTCTAGCTAGTAAAGGAAAGGAAAAATAGGAATAAACTTTGTTCAGTAATGGCTTTTTTACATTTCATTCCAGGATTTGTAAGGGCTGATATATAGCCCTTACAATTTAAAATGTTTACCATGGGGGAACCTGGGTGACTCAGTCAATTAAAGGTCCAATTCTAGATTTTGGCTCAGGTTCAGTTCAGTTGTAGAAATCAAACACCATGTCAGCCTGCTAAAGATTCTTTCTGTCTTCTCCTGCCCCTCTTCCCCACTCTTGCATGCTCTCTCTTTCACTTAAAAAAAAAAAATCTGAAAAAACAAAAGTATAATGCCATGATTTGTATAACAGGTTAATTACACAGTACTTTCACATATGTTTTCATTTGGTTGCTTCAAAATTCTGTAGATTTAGAGTTGGTTAATTAACCTAGGGTCTCAAATACTCTTTTCCCCTATACCAACAACTTAAGTATTGCTTTCAAAAAGATTTGAACAGTGAAAATCCTTGGAAACCTCTCTGGATTTGTGTTTGCTTTGGGGGCCTGGAAGAAACAAGATTCCCCTTACCCCTAGCTGTGGGAGTTAGCATCCAGTTGCTTAGAGCAGGAAGAAGTAGATTTCAAGCTCAGTAGAGGAGAGAGGAAAAGGGAGCCTTGTTCTACTGTAGGGGGAAACATGGAGTTTTGACAGACGTCTCCCACAGAAGACAGTGTGTTTCTTCCATAGGAATTTCTTTACTACGGTCTCTTTACTTTTCATGGTATACATTAGATATCTTATGGGTCAAAGAAAGTGCTGGTTAGTTGCTGTAGGACCGAACCACTATAATGTTACTTTACACGTTAATTTAACAAATGTTTATTTAGAGCCTGTTATGTGCCAGATTTGTACAAGGCCTGGGGGTAGCTTAGCAGCAAATGAGGTGGACTGTGAACCAGTCCTTATGGAGTCTTTAAAGAAAATTTTGTTATGGCTTACATCAGACTTTTTAGAAATATAAGCCCTTTCTAAATGGAAGAACACCTATATTTTGCTAGAAGAAAGTAACATAGAGAAAAGATCAAGCTTTTTAATGGTACATGAAGGTATTATTATTTAGAGCAAGATAATAAAGAATCAGGAAGGCAATGTTGAGTTTTAGTTTTAACATTGATTCAGAAGGTAGTGAATGTGATACTAAGCAGTTTATTCAGTACTTAACTGTGTGCCTCATGGGTGTCAGGTTTTGCTCTGTGCCTAGAATATGGTGGGCAACAGACCACTCACAGAAATGCCATAGTAGATCAGTTTTATAAATCCTTTTGTTTAGAGATGCTATAGGAACAATTAGTCTTAGCTAAAGAGTCCTATAGATTTTCCAAAACCTCATTTTACTTATTCTTTATTTCCATTTACAACTTGTAAATGTGGGAACAGCGGGGTGGAAGTGGAGGAAAGATGAAATAAAACAGTTTAAGGCCAAGGCTTTTGGAGTTTTTCCCTACCAAATGCATCCTAAAGAAACCTAGTGTAGAGCTGGAAGTTCTTAAAATTGAATGTTATATTAGTTTAAAACTATTTCTAAACTTTTTCAGGAGCTTTATGAACTCTAAAAACTATTTTAAGAGGGGATTCTGGTGCGGCATGCTTTTTTTGTATTATAGTTTTCCTGCTTGTGTTTTATCATTTTAGGGGTTTAACAGTAATGTTCGAAATAATGAAAACTTATGGCCACACTTATGAAAAACACTGGTGGCAGGATTTATTTAGAATTGTTTTCAGAATCTTTGACAACATGAAATTACCAGAACAGCAGACCGAGGTAAGAGAAAATGAAATTTTCATTTAACACAGTCAAGTTAAAAGGTTCTTAATATTTTCCCTACTATAGTTTAGTAGTTCAGATAAGTACATGGAAAAGAAAAAAAACTCCTAGAGAATTTTTCATTGTAATAAGAAGTATGTCTTTATAAATAAAGAACAGTATTTGGGGATAGAACTGAGTTAATAAATTGGTTGTTTTCAGTGCTTTTGTTGAACTTCTGGTTTCTTTTTTCATTTTAATATTGCTACAACTACAAACACCAGTAGCTTTCGTTTAGTATTCATAGTGACTTCTTATTCTGAAGTGAATAAAGAATACATATTGGTAAGCTTCATTTATTTTATTGCTGTGTATTTTACTACAAACCAATTACACTATGCATCTCAGTAAATGTGGGGAAGAGAGCCACAAGTTTTCTTGTTCTGTCCCATACAGCTATATTAAATGCAAACTTTGGGGGCTCTCAAAGTTTTACTTTAGATCTGTTTATTTATTTATTTATTTATTTATTTTATGTTTTATTTATTTCTGAGAGAGAGAGACAGCATGAGCAGGGGAGGGTCAGAGAGAGAGGGAGACATAGAATCTGAAACAGGCTCCAGGCTCTGAGCTGTCATCACAGAGCCCGATGTGGGGCTCGAACCCATGAACCGTGAGATCATGACCTGAGCTGAAGTCGGACGCGTAACCGATTGAGCCACCCGGGTGCCCCTAGATCTGTGTTTTTTAAATTTACAGGTAGACTCTTACATAAAATGTTGTATTAAGTAGAGATATGTATATGCACTGGCACAAAACTGTATATGAAAATCAGTCCAGATTAGTCCTTTATATACTTGAGTAAAATTATTTACATGTACTCTGCATAGCCTTATTCACCATTTATGGTCTTTTCAAGAACCATACTTCATGAAAGTTTTATTTTGAATTTATGCTAAACCCATTTGAAAAGTCCTTATCATTTCCTTCCTGTTTATTTCTCTTTTATATTCTGTCATATTCTAGAGCAAGGCCAGCTGTGGTTATTCATGCATATTGTTTGAGAAGTCATAATATTAATAGCAAGACAGTGGTAATTTTTTACAATACTCAAAAATAATGCAAAAAGTAGTTACATTTTTTTTATATATAGATGGTTATGGAACAATGGAGGAAAATAGATCTTAGAAACTGAGTTGAAGTGAATGTAATATTCTAGAAGGAAGTGAGTGCTCTGAAAGGAACATGGACAGACTTAGCTTTTAAATATGCAAACGTTTTTTTCTTTAATCCTGGTGGTTCATAAATGGTCTGACCTTTTAACAACTTTTTCCCCCTAGAAAGCTGAATGGATGACCACGACTTGTAATCATGCACTTTATGCGATTTGTGATGTATTCACCCAGTATTTAGAAGTACTCAGTGATGTACTTTTGGATGATATTTTTGCCCAGCTGTACTGGTGTGTGCAGCAAGGTAGGTCCATAGCAAATAGTGACACAAAGTGTTAAGTGTGGCCCTGGCAACATATAAATGAATTCCTCTTTTCTTTTCTAGACAACGAGCAGTTAGCACGATCTGGTACAAACTGCTTAGAGAATGTTGTTATTCTGAATGGTGAGAAATTTACCCTAGAAATCTGGGATAAAACTTGTAACTGCACACTGGATATCTTCAAAACCACAATCCCACATGCGTAAGAAGATTTTATACAACTTTATATTTGTATATTTGTATATTGAATGACCTAAAAAGTTCTTATAACAGAAATCCTTTTAAAAATACCTCAGTGTTCTATGAATTTGTATTTATTACAAATCAGACTCCTATAAGTCATAACAAATACTTGAATTAGATTCTTTATAAACTAGACCCTTTAGTCTGATGGGTAATGTGGTTCTTGGTCATATTGAAGTGATTCTACTTTTACAAGGTTTACTTACCCAGATTAAAGCAAGCAGTGGTTTTGAATTGAGGGGCGGGGAGAACTCAACATATATTTCAGTTACTGTAGATTTAATAATCTATGGAAAATTGATTTGCAAATATATTTTACAGTTAATTGTCGTCATCTGATGGATTAGTTTGGAATTGTAGAGAAGGAGTTTTTATCAATGGGGAAATTAAGACATAGTCTCACTAAACGACAAATAGCACCTGGATACAACATACTTGAGTTTACTTCCCAGCTCAACTTTTGAGGCTTTCTGACTTGCACCAGTCTACTACTTGTAAATCTACTTAATAGATTTACTATAAAGTAGGTTCGTGTGTATAAAACTGTGTATGAAAACTATGAGTTCAGATTTTTAAGCATCATGAACTTTGTCTTGACATGAGTTAAATATGTTCACATTGGCATGATTCCCTTGTAAGCATCCTAATAAGACATCAGAAGTCAAACAGAAGGGACACCCCTCTAGGAAAGCAGTCTCTACGTGGTCCTACGCTGAAAGGACAGCTTTTGGCCAATTTTCCTTATTATTATTATTATTATTTTTTGGTGCATATTTTGTTGGAGCAGTGAACCTGACAGATGACCCAATTTTGTCAGTTTATCTGTAGCCTTTATGTCAAAAGACGGTATGAATTCTTGCCTACCCATTGTACTTTTGAAGTTGTCACAAGAATCAATCAGGCTGAACTTTCTTTTTTTATTTTTAAGAGCTGCTTCTGTTTTAATATATTGTACATTCAAGTTAAAGTACATGATCTTAAAGATGATCTAATAAGCATTTCTTCATAGGAACTTACTGTGCTAGAGTTCTTTCTATATGGAATTGAAATGATGCCTCTAGCGTCTGACTACCCTCTTCCCAGGAGCTCATGCTTCTCAGAAGCAAGAACTTGAGCCTTAGTCATCTTCCAATTCAAGATAGAATCTAAAGAGTTCTATGAATTTCTTAAAAGTCTCAAACTTTTCTCAGTCTCACTTTAAAAGTATTTAATGACATTAATACCTAGTGAGTTCAAAGGTTTTGAAACTTTTCAGAAGTAGTTTTTGGATTTGTTTTTTTAAGCTGATGACCAGAGTACCCTTTTAATTGTATTAAATGCTAGTTAATTGTTTCCTGGAGGTACATACTTTAAATTTTCCACTAGATTGTTTTTTTTAGCAAATTGCTTTTAGCAGTGATCAGAGGAAGATTATATTGTTTTTGATAAATTCTTGTGACTTTTTTCCACGTGTTTGAAAACATGTTGGATGTTTCATGTTTGGAAAGCGTCATGTTTCACATTTTCAATGACTGGGGTGATTCTGGTATTTTAAAGGCTCTTGACCTGGCGTCCCTCTTCTGGAGAAACCGTTCCCCCACCTCCATCTCCTGTAAGTGAAAAACAGCTGGTAAGTTTTCATAAACAAGGCATATTTCAAATTGTTTTTTAATTTTTTTTTAATGTTTTATTTATTTCTGAGAGAGAGAGATGAACAGTGTGAGCAGGGGAGGGAGGGAGAGAGAGACGGAGACACAGAATCTGAAATAGGCTCCAGGCTCTGAGCTGGCTGTCAGCACAGAGCCTGACGTGGGGTTTGAACCCACGAACCATGAGATCATGACCTGAGCCGAAGTTGGATGCTTAACTGACTGAGCCACCCAGGCACCCCTTAAAATAGTTTTTTAGAAGTAATTTTATGATGGGCCAAATTCTTTTATATGAACCCAGGTATAGCATAGCGGCACCTGGGTGATTCAGTCGGTAGCATCCGACTTTGACTCAGGTCACGATCTGTCATTCTCTGTGCTGACAGCTCGGAGCCTGGAGCCTACCTCAGATTCTGTGTCTCCCTCTCACTCTGTCTCACTTGTGCTCGGTCGGTCTCCCTAAAATATTTAAAAAAATTTTTTTAATTAAAAAAAAATTAAAAGGGGGGAGAGGGGATGGGCATGGAGGAGGACACTTGTGGGGATGAGCACTGAGTGTTATGTGGAAACTAATTTGACAATAAACTATTTGTAAAAAAAAAAAAAAAATTAAAAGGTGCATTAGTGACTGGGTAGAATTCTTAGGTTAAATTTCACAATGGGGAATTTCCCATTTGGCCAAAATTTATTTCTGTAAGCGCCATAAAGGAAGTATTTTAAATTATTTTATAATACAGGTGGTCTGAAACATAGAGTAAAATGATGTCAAGATTTTAAAAGGCGGGTATGAGATTATGTTAAGGATTTGCATGCCAGGCTAAAGATATTACTGGATATTTATTTTAAACTTTTAATTTGGGTACAGTGTGATCTAAGAGAAGTATTACAAAAACAGTAAAAGAATTCTTCTATACGGCTCACCCAGTATATTTGTTTCCTAGCCATGCCACAAGAAATTACCACAAACTTGGTGGTTTAAAACAACAGAAATTTGTTGTCTTGCAGTTGAGAAGGCCAAAGGCCCAAAATTAAGGCATCAGGAGGGCCACGTTCCCTCTCGAGGCTTAAGGAAGAGCCTTCTTTGCCTTTTCCAGCTTCTGGTGGCTGTTGGCAGCCTTAGCGTCGAGTGACTTGCACAGGCCTCACCCCACCCCTGCCCAACCTGTACATGGCTGTGTAGCGTCAGAGCTGCGTGTGTCCTGTCTGCGCTTTCTCTTGTAAAGACATGAGCCGTCTCTTACGTCTGTAAGAGAACATAGAAGCCATCTTCTCTCAAGATCTTTAACTTCATTACATCTTTACAGACCCTGTTTCCAAGTAACCTTCATAAGGACCAGAGGTAACAACTTGAATACTCGTTTTTGGAGCTACTGTTTGTTCAGCCTAGTGCAGTTCATCCTCTGGCACCAAAAACTAATGTTCATCTTTCAGGCCAAGTATATTCACCCCTCCCAGAATTCCCCAAAGTTTATCTCATTATGGCATCAATAAGTCCAAAGTCTGTTCTAAACCTCCTATCAGAAGTCCCAAACCTCATCATCACCGCCATCTAGATCAGGCGTGTGGTCTCTTCTGGGGCATCGTCTCCCCCCGTCGGCAGACCTGTACACAGATTACCTGCTTGTAAAGTGCAGGGGAGGGACAGGCATAGGACAGACAATCTTGTCCCCACAGGGAGAGATTGGAAGGCCTAATGGGTAGCTGGCCCTAACAAGCAGGTTGAAAACCCAGCAGGGCAAACTCCATGGAGTTTCAAGGCCTGAGGAGAGTTCTCTGCCCTGATGCTCTGCCCCCTGGGCCCGTGGTTCCTCCTGTGGCAGGTCTCCTCTCCAAGTCGCCGTCTCCACGGTTAGCACGTGTGCGCAGCAGCGCCGCTCCGTCAGCCCGTTCCTGCCTGCGGAATCCCAGAGGGCTAATGACCTGCCTCCATTTTCTCCCCAGCCCCGTCCGGTGCTGGTCCTGGCGCGGCGCTCTTACAGCCCCTCTTGGTCTCTGGTGTGTGTCAGGGGGTTTATTCACGGATCCTCTGTGCATGACTTTCTCTCTCTCCTTGGCTTCTGCTGAGATGTTTGATCGGATCCATTGGATCCACACACCTAATCTCTTTCAACAAAAAGTTGTCTAGCTATCAGAAATGCTTTCATAACAATGAATTTTCCAATTTTAGCATCCTTTGCGATCTGGATAGGCCAAGATCCTCCCAAATTGTCAAGTGCTAGTTCCTTTTTAGTTACTAATTTCCTCCTCAGTGTTCTCTCTGTATCGTCACATTTTTCTATAAACACCAAGGAGAAGCCAGGTCGCATCTTCAGCCTTTTCCTTGAAAATATCCTCAGCTAAATATCCAAGTTCATCACTTACAAGCTCTGCTTTCCACCCAGTAGTACAAGTAGTACAATACAATTTAGGTAAGTTTTCTGCTACTTTGTAACAAGTACAGAAAACCTGGGATTGGTAACCTGTTCTGCGACTGTTACACAAGATGGGCAAACGTTTCTAATAAATTTTAACTTGATAAGCGAGCAGTGTGTTGCAATAGGAGTAGTACGTGACGCCAAGCATCTCATGATCACAACTGAGCCGCTGGTTCTTGAAAAGTGCTTTGGATTACAAGCATGTTTCCAGAATGAATTATGGTCACAAACCAAGATTTTACTATTACCTTTCTTCCATTATCCAGTAACATGTTCCCGATTTCCTTCTGTGATCTCACGAGAAGCACTTTTAACATTCGTATTTCTGTCAACACTCTATTCATGACCATATATGTATTCTTTAGGATGACAGATTTCTCAGTCATGCATTTTACCTCCTCCTCCATTCTCACCAGAATTGCATTTAATGTCCATATTGCTACTGACAATATGGGCTTCGAGGCAATGTAGGCTTTTTCTGCCATATGCCCCAAAACTCTCCTAGCTTCTACCATTACCCAGTTCTAAAGTCACTTCCATATTTTTAGGTATTTGCTATCGCAGCACCCCACTTCATGGTACCAAATCTTTGTCAGTCAGTATTGTACCAGTGACGTGGGACCAGCGGGAAATATCTGTCTGTCTGTACGTGTGTATGTATTCGTGTGTGTATGATGTATGCACATGCATAGCTACAGTTTTTTAATTTAAATTTCACAGAATTGGCTATGCAGTTATTGGGGCCGGTCATGTGAAGTCTGTAGGGCAGGCCGGAAATCCTGGGCAGAGCTGCTGCTTCAGGGAAACCTGGTAGCCTTTCTGCTGATCACAGGAGGCTCCAGCCACGTTTCTGAGGATGATCTTTACTCAAGTCACCTGGCTGTAGATGTTCTCCGCGTCTGTGCAGCACTTTACAGCAGCCCTCGTGTTACTCACTGGGGACTCCGGCCTGGCAGCTGCACACGAACCTTACATGACACGAGTTTCTCCAGGTGTCCTCATTTCACTACGTTTGCTTTATCATTTCCTCCCTTCCTCCCTCCTTTTTGCCTCACCCACTGCACCCTAGAGACTCTCTGAGTTCTTTGAAAAGATGTCCTTTCATCCCTAAATTCCTTAGTGTTTTTCCTTAAAAACAAAACAAAACAAAAAACTTACATAACCACAGTGCAGTTAACAAAATCAGGAAATTACCATTGGAACAGTACTATTCTCTAATCTGGTTTTATTCAGTTTTTTAAAATGTTATTTATTTTTGAGAAATAGAGCACAAGCAGGGGAGGGTCGAGAGAGAGGGAGACACAGAATCTGAAACCGGCTCCAGTCTCTGAGCTGTCAGCACAGAGCCCGACGCGGGGCTTGAACTCATGAACCGTGAGATCATGACCTGAGCCAGAGTCGGCTGCTCAACCCTTTGAACCACCCAGGAGCCCCACGGCCTCAGCGGCAGCATATTAGTGTCCATTGGTCAGTTTGTCCCCCACGACTTTTAAATGTCTTATCTAGCAGTCAGCGACTAAACCTTAGACTTCACAGTAAAGTACTGCTGTGCGTGTGTGAGTGCTCAGCTGCTTCGGGGCTCCCCGGGGTGGGGGCGAGGCATGAGCCGCTGGCGCCCTGGGGACCAGCTCACCCTCTCTGTGGCTTGTCTTCAGAGCTGCTGCTGCTGCCATCACTTCCCAGATAGACCAGCCCTTGCACCCTGCTCTCCTTTCTTTCTCTTCTCTCTACAGCTTACAGTTTGCCAAGAAATTATGGTATTTTCCTCATACCATTCTCAACTGAGTATATCTGGCTGTGCACTGAAGGAATCCTTTGTATTTATTTTTGTTTTTCTCATTAAACTTGTTTTTAATGGGTCTCAAAATTCGGTGACAGATTTTGGTCAAGCTGTTTCCATTAAAAAGTAGTGATTTTAAAAACTAATAACTTAGAACTGCCACACACAAAAAACAAATGGTCCACAAAACATTCTGAAGGTTTTATGATGCATTGTTCCCATTAACCAGTCTTTTACTGTTAAACTTAAAAGGTCAGTTGACACATGGGGCGCCTGGGTGGCTTAGTTGGTTAAGTGTCCGACTTTCGCTTAGGTCATGATCTCGCGGTTCGTGGGTTCGAGCCCCGCGTCGGGCTCTGTGCTGACTGTCAGCTCGGAGCCTGGAGCCTGGAGTCTGTATCTCCCTCTGTCTCTGACCCTCCCCTGTTCACACTGTCTCTCTCTCTCTCTCTCTCTCTCTCCTAGAAATAAATAAAAAATATTTAAAAAAAAAAAAAAAAAGGTCAGTTGACACAAACATCTCTGAGACGTTCTTCCACCACTGATGAAGACTGGGGTGGCGTTGGGCCTCTGGGGGGCTCAGGCAGTTAAGTGTCCGACTTCGGCTCAGGTCATGATGTCATGATTCATGAGTTTGAGCCCCGCATCAGGTTCTGTGCTGACAGCTCAGGCCCTAGAGCCGGCTTCGGATTCTGTGTCTCCCTCTCCCTGTGCCCCTCCCCCGTCACACTCTGTCTGTCTCAAAAATAAACATTTAAAAAAAAGATTGGGGGGGTGTTGTTGGGAATAATGCTCGTTTAGCCTGCTGAGCTTCCTGGGCACCATTGCCGCCCCAGCCACCTTCTTGCCCACTGCTTTGATGATGACCCACAGCAGCTGTCTGTCTCCTCTCCCAGAAGAGCACAGTCAGAGGTGCTCTAGACACACATAGTCTTCCAGGAACAATATCAACGATGGCAGCACCCCCAGATTTCAGGAACTTAGGGCCGTCCTCCAACTTTTCCCCAGAACAGTGATCAGTGGTCTTCATGCAGCTCAGCAAACTTGCAAGCAGTATGAGCGCGTGACAGTCCCGACACAGATGCATCTCCAGCACTGATTTGGTGAAGGACTACTTTTTCAAAATTAAAAACAGAAAAATACCCAGTTATTGTAAAAAAAAAAAAAAAAAAAAGTTACAAAGAAAGTAGGGTAAAAAAAATGCAAGGGCCTTTTTATATTCCACCCTTCCACGGCAACTCCAGGGTATAATACTCTGGTGTATGTCCTTCTAGCTCTTTTCTATACATTTGTATGTATAGTATATAAATTTATATATAGTTTTTTCAAACAATGAAATTTTATTTGGAGATTGATATATTTGGGCTATCTAAGAGCTGTCTCCACTTCAGTACATAGAGATTTCTTTCATAGGAGCTCCTCCTCTTCCATTAAACAGGCCTTTTTAAAGGGAAAGGTGTGGGCATATTTCTGGTGCACAGCTGTTCTAAAATGTGCAAAGACTACCAAAAAGTCATCTTTATTTACATTGGTTGAACAGAAAAATTGAGAACGCAGTATGCCTAACATCAAAAAATTGATACAAAGGGGAATTTTTAAATTCCCAATACTGTGACCTAGCTTTTGTGCACATTTAGTTTTCTAGGTGGAAGCTTTTCAGAGATCATGAGAATGTTCAAAAGAGCCAGTGACCCAAAAAATTCAAACCCAGTGCTTTCACTTATATTCAGTAAGACAATACATTTTTTATTCTATCAACTTACTAATTTACCCCTTAAAATACACTTACTAAAATGTACAAACTGGGGTGCCTGGGTGGCTCGGTTGAGCATCTGACCCTTGGTTTCGGCTCAGGTCATGATCCAGGGTTGTGGAATCATGCCCTGCACTGGGCTCCGTGCTCCACGCGGAGCCTGCAGATCTCTCTCCCCCTCGGCCCCTCTCCTCCATGTGCACGTGCTTTCTCTCTCTCAAGAAAAAATGACAAGTTAAAAAGAGACAGTTGTTTTTAATAATAAATTTTAAACACTGAACGTTCCTTTACAGGATTTATAAATTTGGAAGTGTTGCTGTATGCATTCTTCCATTTAAGTTTTTCTGTTAATGTTTGTTTATTTTGAGAAAGAGTGCAAACGGGAAGGGCAGAGAGAGAGGAAGGGTGAGAGTTCTAAGCGGGCTGCACGCTGCCAGCATGGAGCCCTGGGGCTTGATTCCAGAACCCGTGAGATCACGATCTGAGCTGAAGTTGGATGCTTAACCAGCTGAGCCACCCAGGTGCCCCACTTCCATTTAAGTTTTTACTTAAAAGTGTATTATAGGCCATTATGGTCAAAGGAATTACCCAGTGACTCTACTAGATCTATGGAATTATTATTAAAGGCCTCTTATTTGTTTTATGCTTATGAAAAATACAAAGATGAGTAAGAAGAATTAGAACAATAATAATATGGCTTTAGATTTGTGTAGCACTTCACTGTTTAAAAAATATTTTTACATTTGATCCTTTTAGAAATTTTTTGAACCCGATTTGGTACATTATCCCCATTTTATACGGAACAGCAAATGAAAAATCATAAACCGATATTTTAAATCTTAAGTTAAAATACTATTTTGATTAGCACTCTTTCTTGGGAATGCAGGCCCCTGTCTTCCTTTCAGAAACCCAGGTGAGTTCTCTTCCAGCTAAAATTGTTGGGTCAGAATTCTCAGTTCTAGAATAGTAATGACAGCTATTGTATATTGTCTGATACTGTGCTGCTACTTTGCATTTATTTTCCTAATAACCTACAAGGAAAGGTCCTCTCCATTTTCAGATCAGAAAACTCTAGCTCAGGAGTGTTTGTTGCTTTTCCAAGGGTCTACCTAATGCTGGAGCCAAAGTCTGGTGTTGACTTGAACGTAGAGCTTCTGTCGTGACACCACACTCCTAGTCAGTCACCTTCTCACTGATACTTCTGGTTGCCAGTTTCTTGGATGATGGAGCATCTTTCCCTGACTCATCCCTACAAAGCTTTCCTGAGCTCCACCTACACTGAGCTCACGGAAACCTATCCCACGTCTGGCACATAAGTGCTCTGTTTAGATTGCATGAAGATTCACGCACCTGGTTAGTTTTTCCACACAATGAAGCTTAGCATTTTTGTCAGTGCTTTTGGGTGGTACCAGACCTGAGACCAGTGAGGGTCAGAAAGGAAGCTTTTCTCTTAAAGGCTCTGTGCTCTTATCTGTGCATAGGTAACTTTAAATAATTTCCCCATGTGTCTGTAATCACTGTGTAGAATGTCCTTTTCATGGTGACCCATGTAATTGTTTGCAAAACAGCATACTAGAAACTGTTTTCATCCTTAAGATTTGTTGTACTTACAATGAATTTTTTATTTTGTTAGGATACGATATCACAGAAATCTGTAGATATTCACGATTCTATTCAACCAAGATCTGCCGATAATAGACAGCAAGCACCATTGGCTTCTGTCTCTGCTGTGAACGAAGAAGTCAGCAAAATTAAACACACAGCAAGTGAGTTATTTCTCCTAACAAAATTAGTATGTTTTGTTTTATGTAGGAAAGGGATGAAATGTTTGCTTTTTACTTTTGTTATTAACAAATATATACTGTAATTGTGTGGTCACTTTGTTACTGCGTTTGCTCCAAGTTGGACAGTAGCTAACACCTACAGTATCAGCTTTTTCCACAAGTGCTTAATGTTTGTGTTGAGCACCTCTTTTCTCCCCCTTCCCACCTGCACGTTAGCCCCATGTTCTTGCTGCAAAAAGCAGGGCCTTGCGGGCCTTTGTCTATAGTGCTTTCCGAGCAGGAGCGCCCAGCTTCCTGAGAAGCCGGCCTTCTTTCCACTCAACTGCCTCACACCATGGCCTCCTCTCACCTTAGTGCTTTTCACAAAGAAGGTTCCCCCTTCTGTTTTTTACAAAATTGATCCAGCTTTGTTTACTGAAGGAAAATTATAACACAAGGAAAAGCTACCTCCCCCCTAGAAGACAACAGGACAGCTATAATTGCTTTTATAAAATGAGGTGAAGTTCACATAAGAAAAGTAACCATTTTAAAGTGAACAATTCAGTACACTCACAAGGTTGTGCGATCACCACCTCTGTCCGCTTCCAAAATGTTGCTATCACCCCACCCGTTAATGCTGTTCCTCCTTACCCTCCCCTTCGCTAGCCCCTAGTAACCACTAATTTGCTTTCTCTGTCTATAGATTTGCTATATTTCATATAAATGGAATCATGCAATATATGAACTTTTATGTCTATCGTTTATTTAGCATAATGTTTTTAAGGTCTACCCACATGGTAAAATTGATCAGTGATTGATACTTCTTTATGACCAGTTGTCAGTTGTTTGGAAATGTATCACATTTTGTTTATCCAGTCATTTGCTGATGGCTATTTGGGTTTGTTCTGCCTTTTGGTTAGCATAATGTTGCTGTGAATGTGCGTGTACAATATAACTTGAGTTCCTGTTTTTAATTACATTGGCTAGACACCTAGGAGTGGAATTTCAGGGTCATATTATAGGATAGTTCTGTGTTTAACTTTGTAGGGAACCACTAAAACGTGTTCCACAGTGGCATTCCAACTAGCAATTACAATTTGTCCACGTCCTCACCAACACTTTTTTTTTTTTTAATGACCATCCTAGTTGGTGTCAAGTGGTACACCCCCCCCCCCCCGTTGTAGATTTGATTTGCATTTCCCTAGTGATTAGTGATGTTAAGCATCTTTTCATGTGCTTATTGCCATTTGTGTGTCTTCTGTAGACAAATACCTATGTCCTTTGCTCTTTTTTTAATTCGATTGTCTTCTTATTGTTGAATTGTAAGTCTGTTACACACTCTGGGTATTGTACCTGTATCACATACATGGTTTGCAAATATTTACTTTCTCCTCTTGTGTAGGTCTTATTTCTTTAATAACATCTGACGCACAAAGTTTTTAACTCAGATGAAGTCCATTTTACCTGTTTTTCCTTGCCCATGCTTTTGGTGTCATGGGTAAGAATCAGTTGCCAGAACTAAGGTCATGAAGGTTTTCCCCAAGGTTTTAAGAGTTTTATGTTTTTAGCCCTTACATTTAAGGTTGTTGAACCATTTTGAGTTAATCTTTTTTTCCAGGGATTCTTTTTTTTTTTTTTTTAAATGAATCCTAGGTTCTTATACTTGTTCTTGGGAGAAGACAGAGCTTCTGGTTTCAGTCACCGTGTTTTGCTAACTTCTTAAAGGGGGAGAGGGAGGTGGGTAGTGGTGAGTGGCTGATTTTCATTTTTTATTCGTGTTCTATGGAGAAGAGTATGTCTCATACAGGAATCCATGACAGCTGTAGTGTGCACTGGAACATGACGTAAGGACAGAATAGTGAATGGCTTTTCTCTGTCTCTCAGCCCCAAGACTGATTTAAATATACTTAGCTCTGTAAAAGAAGGATGTGGTCATCACACTTTAGAAAGTTTTCACGTGGCTAATCTGGGTATGTACACCTTTAACTGGAGCTGTGTGCTGCTCCCCACACTATGAGCTGAGGGCCCAGGCTTGTTTCCTGCTGTCAGATGTCCTGTCCTCTCTCCGCTTGAAGTTCTTTAGGAAAAGTTCACCATGGAATTGTTGATTCAGAATAGGTGGAGCTAGAGGGAGAACAGATGGCCACCATGTCCCCATGGGCCCTTTCACGTAGTGGACAAGTGGCGGTACCTCTGTTCAATGAAGAGAGACCACCTGTTGTGAAAGAATCACAACACACACCTGAGTACTTCACCCTGTCCAAAGGGCAGCATCTCGTTCTTTCTGCTCCCCCCGCCCCCCCATCTAGTGTCGGCTCAGTGCTTGCTGCCCCTCATAGTCTTGTTTAGCTTTGGTGAACCAGCGAAATGGTCACCTAATATAACCCTGGCAGTGCCAGTCAGCCCTGCAAACACGCTGCCAGCCACTGCTAGTGAGTCTGAAGTTAAGATCCAGAGCCTCCAAGGACACCAGAGAGAGGGAGGGGCCTCACCCATTTGATCAGAGTGGAGCCTCGTCCGCCATACTGTCATCCTGCTGACGGCTCAAAAAGGATTTTGTAATAAAAGCAAAAGTGGACACTGAAGGATTTTAAGTCTGTGATGCTGAACGATCGCCCTGAGTGATTTACAGGCCGCTCGCCTTGGCCAGTCATCTGCCTCCTGGAAAGCTCACTGGAAGAGCTGCCCTTGACATTCCAGGGTTGAGGTCCGGCCTTCGGCTGTCCTTGGAGCCAGTGTCCGTGCTGCCACGCTCTTGCAGCATCTCAGTAGTTGAGTCCTCTTTTCTAACCTTGTGCTTTTGCATTTGCTTAATTGGGATGGTCAGTGAAAAGGGAAATTCTTCTTGGAATGTGACCTTATAGGCTGTGGATTGTCAGAAACAGTGTTTTGTCTTGTTGAGCAAATTCGTCCGGCTAGAGGAACGTTGCTATGTTTCATCTCACCTGTGGAGAGCATTTTGTGATCACGCACTTGGCATAACTTTTTTAGACTTCTTTGCTTGTGGATCCATTTGAACATCTAAGGTCCTTTTAGCTCCATCTTCTAACGTGGCTCCCAATAAAACATGTGCTCTGGTTAGCCTGCAGTATTTGCCCCGTTTAGCAGAATTTGTGGCTGCCCCTCCTTCCTTTCTCACGGATCTGGTTCCTGTTGTTTTCTTTTGGTGCAGTTTTATATGTTACCTGTATTCAAAGGTCACATTTGAGTCCCAGTATGTGCTATTAGTGGTTTAGCTTTTAATGCATTTGTTGCATTTTATTAAAGAATAACTTAAATCTTCTTAAAGTTGTAGTGGGACCTTTTTGGACATAATTTACTGTTCTAAGTCATTGAGAATATTTTTACTTAAAAAATTAATTTTCCAAGGCTTTTCTAAAAATTGGTGAGACTTACTGAGTGGTGCTTATGTGTAGTATGTACTCAGTGTGATGTGTGCAAGTAACCTTCATTCATATGAATGTTTCCTTAAGCATTGTAATGTCATAGAAATTATAAAGGATTCAAAATAATTTTTGTTTGCATGTGCATTGGGGTGGGTTTCCTCACAGAATTTCCAGAACAAAAATTGTTTGCTGCCCTGTTGATTAAATGTGTTGTGCAGCTGGAACTCATCCAGACTATCGACAACATTGTGTTCTTCCCGGCCACAAGTAAGAAGGAAGACGCCGAAAACCTAGCTGCAGCCCAGGTACGGACGTGTGAGGGCAGCTGCTTTCATGCTGAGTAGGAGGTTGGCTTTCACAGTCTGGGCCGCAGAGCAAAAGTCAAACTAGAGATTTGATTTCGGGGCTCTTCATCATAGAAATGTCATTTGAAACCTGGGGACTGAACCGTTTCCTCCAGGCAGGAAGTGCGGACAGGGCTGCGGGGAGGGTCGGGCCCTGAGCGGTTAGAGCTCCTGGTGATGAGGCAGCTGGTAAGGAGCCCGAGAACAAGAACCCATGAGGCAAGGGCAGAGCAAGAGACAGTGGCGTCTCAGAAGCCAAATGAAGAAAAAAAACTTTTAAGAAGCGCATGATCATCTCTGTTAGATGCTCAGTGGGTAAAGTAATGAAATACTACTTTAAAAAAATATAGTAGTATTTCATCTGAGAGTTACTTACCTTCAAGCAATTTGGTGGAGTCCAGTGACCTTGACGTTGTGCTTAATTTTAATTGTTGATGTTGAGGACAAAAGCATTATATTGAAATGGGTACCAGAGAAGAGAGGAGTTGCAGGCAGCAAATATTAATAATTCTGTCAAATTTTGCTGTAAAGGGTACAGAGAAATAGGATAATTGCTGGACAAGAAGGAGGAGAAAGGGTTTGCTTTGTTTTTGTCTTTAAGATGGGCAGTATTGCAGCATTTTCACTGATGAGAATTCTTCAGGGAAGAGAGAAAACCTAATTCAAAAGATGGCGAGAGGGACAGTTGGAGTCTTTTTGAGTGAATGGGGTGGCATCTAGGGCCAGTCCCCGCAGGGTCAGAAGCACAGGCAGTGGGTGCATTATGACAGGAAAGCAAGCAAAGTATGTGGTTCTTAACACGGGAAGGTTGGTCTGTTTGCCAGTGGGAGTTTGTGAGGGGCTCTTCCGACAGCTTCTGGTTTCTCACGGAGAGAAAAATCCTCTACGAAACGACGCTGGGAAGAGAATTTCAGACACCTGAGAAGTGAAAACATGAGTTAATCATCTAGAGAGTGGACGTGGGCAGTGCAGGGTTGCTGGGCACCACCCAGCGCTCACTGGATTTAAAATCAGTCTGTTTTCTCCCATCATGTTTGTTGTGTGGGTGTAGACGTGGAGTAGGCAGTTTTGCCGGCCAATTAATCTAAAAAGAGTGAGGGATTATGCAAGAGAATAATTCTGACCGCAGTCCCGGGAATCCAGACCGGTGAAGACAAGTGAGGGCCTGAGGAGGGTCCGCAGGCGCGGAGCTCGTGGAGTCGGGAATTAGGAGGAATTGGAAGGGTGGGAGGGGGTGCTCGGTGGCTGGGACGCGTGGAGGAATAAAGGTCCTGGAAGTGTAGTAACAAAGTTTGGACCTTTTCCTATTTTCTCTTGCGGTAGAAAAGATTAAGGTCTGTGGCTTGCTTCTAAAGCTGATCTGTGGCGAAGCACTGAGTTCTGAATTTACTAAATTTTGTGACTCTGTGTATGTGTGCGTGCTGTGGTGGTTTGTTTTCCAAAGAGAGATGCCGTGGACTTTGATGTTCGAGTTGATACTCAAGACCAAGGAATGTACCGCTTTTTAACATCACAACAACTTTTTAAGCTACTGGACTGCTTATTAGAGTCGCATAGATTTGCAAAAGCATTTAATTCCAACAACGAACAGAGGACTGCTCTGTGGAAAGCAGGTAAGCTGTGCAGGCGTCACATTTAGTGTTCACCATTAATGCTTGTGCACCGGGGCGGCCTGTGTGTCTCAGGATTCGTGGTTTGTATGCTTCGGGTCTGTGGCTTTCCCTGTATGGACTTTCTACCTTAACAGTAATAATTGGAAGGCAGTCCCATTGCCAGAATCGATAGCAAGGCCTTTGTCTGATCTACAATAAGCCATCTATCTGCTGGGGGAGGTTTGTTTCCCCGTGTAATCAACTCATTTGATTTGACCATTTTTTCATCTTGTTCTCCCAGTGTGGGCCGTCCCGTTGATACTGTCAGGACACTAAAAGCTGCCGTTTTATGAGAAAAAGTGTATGACGGTCCTGACCGTGAAATCATCTTGCATATGTATTCTGATGACTTCTTCATACTTACCTGGGAGTGGCCACCCCTCAGAATGGAAGTGAATGTTTGGGGGGGGGGGGGAGTGCATATTTATTTTTGAATAAGTTGGAATATTTAAATAAAACAGCTTTATAATAATTATATTGACATTTAATTTTTTTTATTAAGAAATAGTTCCTAGGTGCCTACTAGGTACAAAACAGTGCTAGAAGGGTGAGAGGCAGCAGAATATGCAGAAAAAAATGTGTTTACTGAACATCAAACTCTCTGAAATAGTGTTGGGTACTTTACATGTGCATATTTAATCTGAAATAATTGTTTAATTCCTAGTTGAGCTCGTGGCTTTGTTCATCCCCGTCCCTTTTCAGCCTGACTTCTGGAAAGAGTAGTCTGTACTTCTCTTTCCCCTTTATTCAGCCAAAGGTGGCTCCCCCTGCGCTGGGAGTGCCCCCGCCAGAGCCACCCGGCTCCGTGTGCACTCGCCGTGGGCCCTCACACTGCCGGCGGCCTCAGAAAGCCGTCTCCCTGCCGAGGGGTCCGGCCTGTTCACCCAGGAGGCCTGGCGCAGGCTGGCGTGGCGGGAGCTGGGCAGGGCGGCTTCGTTTGAAGGGAACAGTTCCCAGCCCAAACGTCGTTTTGTGTTTCCTGTCCCCAGCTTGAGAGAGGAGGAAATTTTCAGCGTAGAAATCGCAGGGTCTGTTCTTGCAGGGTCTCCAGGCCAAGTTGGCCTCCCTCGCAGTCTTGGGGTGTGAGTCCCCTCAGACTCTGTGCCGCCTCAGGGGCCCCGCGGTCCTGCGCTCAGGCTGCTGCGGCCTGGGTGGCTCTGCTTTGTAAGCAGCAGGTGCCACAGCTGAGTGGCACAAGTTGTGCCTTTGCAGGAGGCTCTTATGCCCCTTTCTGGAAGGATGCCTCCCCGAGTTAATCCTCGAAATTCCCTTTTCTGCAGGTTTCAAAGGCAAATCCAAACCTAACCTCCTGAAGCAGGAGACGAGCAGCCTGGCCTGTGGGCTGCGCATTCTCTTCCGCATGTACATGGACGAGAGCCGGGTCAGTGCCTGGGAGGAGGTCCAGCAAAGGCTTCTAACGTAAGACTCTTGGTCGCGTTTCTGTCTTTGATTCACGTGGCTGCGCGGCACAGGGTAGGAAGGGACCGCGAGGTGTGCGCGGGGCCGAGCCCACAGCCCCGCCCGCCGCAGGGCCGCGGACACGGAGCGTCGGGAAGAGGTGGTGGAAGTTCAGCACAGTCTCCTAGATGAATGTACGTGTGCACAGCTGGGGACATGAGCAAATCATGCCTGTGCGGCTGCTGCTGCAGGACAAAGACGAAGTCAGCTGGCACTTACCCGACCGAGGCACCCAGGCGCCCCTTCCTAAAACTTGGTAGTTTTTAGGCGTTTTTGTGCCACAGGTAACTCCATTTTTACAAATTGATCATTCGTAAAAGTGAAAACCTGCCTGCCTGCGTTTAGCTAAAAAAAAAAAGGTTTTCTTACTGATGCTTTAAGATTCTGTCCTTTAATTTTAAACGCATGCTAAGAATGAATCCTGTCATTCAGAAAGAATGCTGTCTCCCGCATACTTCTGTGTGTTCTCCGGGAATAGATGTTCCCGGAGATCAATTAAATACATTTTAGAATTTTAAGAGATGACTTAATCCCTATTTGCCCTTTTTACTGACGAGACTCCTAAGGCCCAGAAGTATCTACAACCTTCACAGTGAGTAAAGGGAAGAGCCACCCCAAACTTCAGCCCAGGTTTCTTGATGCCAGGCTTGGGCATGTGCTGCTGCACAGGGGCTCTGAAATCCAGTGAGACTTTGAGAAAAATGTGAGCTTCCTGATAAATTGCAGTGGCTTCTTATAATGTCTAGTTTTCTTCCTAATTTCAAGAGCACACATTTATGTTGTCCCTCTAGTTAACGTAAGCAGACGGAACCTAACCAGTTCGTAACAGTAAGGTCCCTCCCCGCCTCGTCCCAGCTGGTCCCGCTCTGAACGCCCACCGCGGCAGGGGTGTCATGTAAGCGCCTGTAAAATGAGCCTTTTCTGTTACAGTGTCTGCAGCGAAGCCCTAAGTTACTTCCTGACTCTCACGTCAGAAAGTCACCGGGAAGCCTGGACTAACTTACTGCTTCTGTTTCTAACTAAGGTTCTAAAGATAAGTGACACCAGGGTAAGTACGAGGCATTTTTTCCAGCCTGAGCAGCATCACACTCCCGCGGGGGGCAGGGCGGGTTGTGGACCCACCGCTCAGAGGTAGATTGAGCAACGCCCCGGCCGCAGTGCTGCTCGGTCCTGGGCCGCTGCGGCCCCTCTACTCACTGCCCCTTCGTTCTTCTTCCTCCGCACCCTGCTCTGTTCTCTAATTTGTGATTTCATAGCGGATTCGGTGAAGAAGGAATCAGAATCCTTTAGGACTCTGACAAGCCACTGGCTCCCCCACACTGTGCAGTTTCCATCCTGAAAACTGCTGTCCTGCCCCTACCCGAGACCCTTCCGGGCGCCAGGCCTGTGCTCCGGCCTCGGCCATTCCTTGCCGTATTGATTGGTTCCATGGGACAGAGCCCTAGTGAACGGGCCGCAAACTCATTTAAGAATTTAAAAGCAGTAGAAACGAAGCTAAATTAAAAATACAGAACTGTAAGTACAAATACTATTTCAGATTGTCAAAAGTATGTATTTCACTGTTTAAACTTTATAGCCACTTCTAGCTCACATAAATGGAAACAGTTGCTGTGATCCCTGAATAGGTTTAAAAGTGCAGTGAGGTGGCCCGAGATCTGGGCCCCGGGACCCTGCAGAGGCCGTGCGTGTCAGTTGCTGCCGTAGAGATGCTCATCCCAAGTCACGTGCCCTGGTCCGCGTGGATGTGCGTCGGACTCCCAGGCGGGGTAGAGCCTGGAGAAGTGATCTCGGGCGCGAGCAGCCCTGCGGCCAGGAAGGACCCCAAAGCTCAGGCGTCTCGTTCCCCTGCAGGCTTTCGTGACGCGTCGTCACACAGCTTCCTTGTCCTCATGGGGTGTGGGCAGCAGGAGGGACAACAGGCGGTGACTTGTGTTCAGACATGAGGGAAGTCCGGCCGCCGCCCTCCCAGTACCGCAGTGAAGCGTAACCGTGGAATGTGTCATCTTTGCCGGAGGAGTACAAATGTTATATTTTAGTATTAGGTAGGAATTTCCCTAAAATTAGACATTTCCTTAGCAAATAAGGTAGTTTCAGTAACCCGTAGCTTATAAAAACTCAACTGTCATTCTTGCTGGTCTGTCTTCTGCTTATTATCCAGGAAAAACGATGATCCATGATACATACTAAAAGCTTACCGTAAGTTTGTCAAGGAAATATGATAGAGAATGTTTTTCAGAATAGGGGTAGGTTAAGTGAAGGTACGAAGTTAAAACTTTTGAAAACTTCTCTTCAGTTCCATAGTCAATATAGTCCCTGCTTCACGCAGATGTGTTTCCTCTGTCTGCGCTGAGTAGTGCAGGCCCCAAAGTGGTTGGACTCTAAAGGCATTTTGAGCTTCTGTGGTTTGGAATGCAAGCACTTCTAACGGAGAAATTCATTCCCCTCCCCCCTCCCAGTTTAAAGCTCACGCATCATCCTACTATCCTCTCTTATGTGAAATTATGCAGTTTGACTTGATTCCTGAACTTCGTGCTGTTCTTAGAAGATTTTTTCTGCGAATTGGAGTAGTTTTTCAGATATCACAGCCACCTGAACAGGAACTTGGAATGAACACGCAATGATGGCAACTTGGTATTTTTCTGTTGGCGTTTACATCCCTCTGCTCTTTTAAAAGGACCCAGGAGCTGAGGTTTCCTACCTGAAAAATGGTTTCTCTGAATTGCGGTGTCTGAGGGTTACTGGCAAAGATGCTCAGAACTGTCACTCAAACTTGCAACGCTCCAGTCCCTATTTCGTTATCTGGTGGGTTCTGTTTGTCATGTTGGGCTCATGCTGAGCAGAAAGCCTCTTTCCACAGTGTCCGCGTGTGTCCATGTGCCCTTCCCTGTCCTTGGGGGCAGGGAGAGCCCCACATATTTCTGGCAGGTGTGGAAGTAAAACTTTACCCAAAGAACTTTAGATGTAAAGATTTGAACTTCTGCAAGAAGTACAACTCAGGAGAGCTGTATTTTGAAGGATAAAATGTTTATAATTGGGGGTAGGGGGGGAGAAGAAATTATTGTTCATGGTAAAAGATATTTAGCAACTATGGTATTCTTATTCTGAAGATTTTTGCACACTCAGGCTGTCTGAGATACTGGTAATCATCCTCCTGTGAAAAATGTACAGAGATGCAGGTCTGTAATATAAAGATCTTAAACATTATATAGTTCTTCCTGCACTGTTTTAATTTCTTTATTTTCTTATTCATTTGCTAAATACCTATAATATTTTGTCAAATGCACTAAACATTTGGGTTGAACTCTTTTTTTTTTTTTTTTTATTTTGTGGGGATTTTGGTTTTGCCCTTTGGGGGGCGGGTCATTTTGAAGGTTTGACATGCCCAGAAGCTGTTGTGGCCGACACTTGTCATGATCAACAACAACAACAAAAGGTAGAAAATACACCTACTGACCTGACTACCTGTAATATACTTCTCTTAGGGCCTCTAAAAGATGAGCCGTTAACATAGTTGATCCTTCATGGATTGAAACTTGAATCACTGCAAAATGAATCTAGGTTGCTGTCACTTTCTTTTTTCTTTTGGGTGGCGGGGCTTGATGTAGATTTTACTCTATGTACAGAATTTAATGTTGAATATGTTGAAATAACAGATTTGGCATGGTTTGGGGAAGTTAGATTTACTGGAAATGTATTCATACTGTGAATTGTGCTCTGATGGTTTAAAAAAAAAAAAAAAACAAGATTGTCAAGCATTCCGTATTAACAGTGGATGTAGAAAATTTTTTCAGATGGATAAAATGTATATGGTACAGATGTAAAGTTTTCTATGTAAAAAATTCTGTACAACTTTCTGTACAATATTGATTCTCATCTGGCATATTCTAATCAGGTTATAGGTCAATAAAGTTTTTGGATTATTTCATCAGTGCAATCAAAACCTGTGTAATCTACAGCCCCATGTTTCATTGATTCTTTTATTTTTCTGTGTTAAAAGCTGAATTTAGGAATATTCTTGGCCAGAACTACACATTCTGTTCTTTAATTCAGATATTTTCATTCCAGCTTTTGGTATTAGGATCCTGCTTGCTCAACCTTTAATATTTTGTGCATTAACCCAAACTAAGAGTACACTGTACGAGTGCGAGCTGAAGTCCCCTTTGGGGCAGTTTGCATTGTGTGGTACAATGGCATTAAACAAAACAAAAAGGAATTTGGAGATAGTTTGAGGGTGGTGGTTAAAAACTGTTCATACTTCTAGATAACGGGTTCTTGACCAGTGCATTTATAAGTGCCTCTGAGACACAGCCCTGTTGAAGCCCAGCTGGGTGCTAGAGTTGGGAGTCTCCCACCCAGGTAGCTGGGAACTGGTGGTTTGTTAGTTTGTTATTTTAAGGTACCAGGACTCTCCTCTCTCCGTTTTGTCTTCTCTGGGGAGAGGAAAAATCTTCACAGCAAAATACACAATGGTTAGTTAGGTTTACAAACTTGAGTATAAAGTTTATGTGCAGCTAAAATTACTTAAAATGGTAAAACTTCACGAGGTAAACCTGTCGGATCATATCTGCTGTTAGTTCCATCAATCAATCAATGGAAATGTGCGAGGAGGAGGGGCTCGGGTGCTGAAGACCAAAGAATTATTTCCCAGAATTTTCAGGGCACCCCTTAGCGGATGGAGTGATTAGAAAAACGGACTCACTTCTCCAAGGGCCCACGGTGGTGCGGCAAGGGTCCCAGTCTCTGGCCTGGGTGTTCCTGGCCAGACGCTGTCTGCAGCGTCTAAAACAACTTGTTTAGAAACCTCAAGTCCAGCGAAGGTAAGAAATTGACATTGGTAATGGAAATTATTTCTATCAAGTAGTAGTTAAAAGTCATATAAATTAGTAAATCTAATGCCCTCATTCACAAGAAAGATGTGGTATTTAGTGTACGGCTCATGGAAATAATAACTAGCACGTGGGACTCATTACCCAGCAACTGAAACAGCCACAACTAAACCAACGTATTTATTAAATGAACCCTTTTGAAGAGCGAGAACAGTGACAAATGTACGTACAAACAAGCGTACCCAGGTTCTGCAGTTAAGACACTTGTTTTATTCACCTTATCTTACGAGCAGAATTTAATAATGCACGTACGGTAGTTGATTCCAAGAGTTCATTACCACCTAATGTATGGCAGAATTGTGCAAAAATAATTCTATGTAATTCTACATTATATAAATTAATGGCCTTTTATGTACATCATACACATCATTATGGGAAACATACACCTTCCATACAGATGGAACCTGTGCGAGTCACGTTCAGGTGGTGACCAAAAGTAGCACACACACTAAAGGTTCAGAGTTAACACTCCTTTCACCGTAGAAGGCACCGCGTGGCCCAGCGCAGAGCCGTTCTAACCGTGGGCCGTAGACAGACCCGGCCAACCGGGGGCGCCTGGCTTTCCAGGCACCTGCTGCCGCTCCTGGTTCAGTTGCTCTGCCATGAATCGCTTCAGGGTTTCTGAGGTTCCGGGGCGCAGCCAGGGCTCAGTGGCTGCAGAGGTCGAGCCGTCGTCCCCCACGGGCTTCATCAGGTCATCGGGGTCGACCAGAGAACTCTCCTCGTCTACGGGAGCAAAGGGACAGGACTCAGGTACCGCTGGTGGCGGGGAGGGGACACGGACACCTGTTCCAGCCCCGCGTCTCCCCGTAACGTTACGTTGTGCACCGTACGGTCTCGTCCAGACGCTTCACTTCCGTGCTCGGGAACGACGACAACAGTCCACGGAGTAAGGGGACTCCGTGGTACCCTCCCCCACAGGGTTCCAAAGATAAAGTAGACGGTGCCACACAGTAAGTTGTCAGTAGGAGTAAAAGCAGTCTCACAGAACCGTAAATTTAGCAAAGTTTTAGAAATATTCCGCACCTGTTACTGATGCTATAAAGAAATGAAGTCATTTTAAGGAAAGCACCAGACGGGGGGGATGCAATTCTTTACATCCCTGCCCCTAATCTAAGAGGTTGGGGGTCTCTACTCCATTACAAGTAAGCCCTTATTTTAATGGTTCATTCTTTAATTGAATGTATTCAACTTCTTTATCTGTGTATTACTTACCAGGTATAATAGGAAAATCTGTCTTCCTACTCTGTGATGTCAACATTTTTTTAAATTACATCTCCCGGCCTGTGAAGGCTTAGCCCAGCAGAGGCACATGTGCAGTCAACTCAGTGAGCAATGAGTCCACATCGTACCAAAAAGCTCCGGTTTGGAAGGACAGTTGTTAAAGTTTCGAAGCTGAAAACCTTCTGAGATTCCCCAAATGCTCTATTTTCTCTCAGTTCCTAAAATCTAGCCCTGTTCCGTATTTATTCTCCTTACTGGTTCTAAAGAAATGGAGGACTAGGTGATCCTCGGTACACGTTAAAAGAATGGCTTTCCCACTGATGCACATTTTTTTCAGGTATGAAAAGTTGGCTCCATCAATTTATATCTCCCGGACTGCTGCCAATTTTATAATTTAAAATTAAGAAAGTGTTAAAGGTAGGAAAACTGCTATTGGAAAAGTACTGGATGTAGGTTTACAGACTAATAGGAACTGTCCCAAAAAATCACTCTGCTGTTTGCTAAAACTAAGAGAGGGCGGGTCAACAGTTGCTAAGGAACCACCCTGCCTGTGCTCGGTGCACATGCGTTAAGTTAACTCGCTGGTCACTAAAGCAATGAGACAGCGAAGTCCTGATGAAAACACTGGCTTCGAAAAGCCTGAGGCTTTTCGCCTGAGGCTGCTTTGCTCTATGGCATCAAAAGGCAAGCAAAAAAGTAAAACAATCAAAACAAACAAAAGTTAATTTCTGATAATCTCTCACTTCACGAAGGGAAGTAAGATGCTGATACTAACTAGCATTTTCCCTGCTAAAAGCAAAGCCTGGGTATAAATTATTCAATAAAAGAGTCTGGTGCAAAAGTGATCCTAATGCGAGGTTTTCCTGGCTGGTGTCTGTGGGAGTTCAGGGCTCCTCCCTCTACCCCCCACCCCAGCTCTCAGTGAAAACTTCCACGGAAACAGGTCTCAGTTCTTACAGAATGTGCTATGTGTAATCCATTAGGCTTGGACATTTACCTGTATTAACTGGTTTATTCTGAAGTTCATTCAGTCTTCGCATCCGTTCTTCATTTCTCATTCTAAGCTGATCGATATTTATACTGGACACAGATTTTAAAGAGAGACCATCTGGTGGTATATTAGGATGACTGTTATCCTGTCATTAGAAAATAGAGTTTCAGAAACAATAATTAACATAAAATGTTAATCCGTGAACCTAAAAGAATTCTTGCCCCTAATAAATGTCCAGTGTGATGAACAAAATAAATGGAAATCTATAGGATTTATATTCTAACTCCTGGTGTTTATTCATGCAGGCTCAGATGAAGGTGTAGGATTTGTGATAGTATTTACATGCCACCAGGCTGGGCTGGTGGTGGGAAATTTTAAGACCCAAAAGGTAAAAATTGAAGTAAAAGGGGCTAAGAATCAGTTGGGCTACAGCAGTCAAGACAGGGTGGTAATGGCACACGGACAGATCAGTGGAATAGAAATGAGAGTCAGGGAATAAACCTTTACCTTTAGGGACAAAAGAGCCAACACAGTTTACCAGGGGGAAGAATATCTTTTCAGCATACATTGGAACTGGATTGTCCACATGCAGCAAATGAAGTTGGAACCCCTAAACCACATCACTTGCAAAAACTAATGCAGAGTGGATCACGGACTTAAATTTAAGAGCAAAACCTAGAGGGGCGCCAGGTGGCTCAGGTCAGTTAAGCACCTGGCTCTTGGTTTTGAGCCCCACGTTGGGCTCCGTGCGGGCAGTGCAGGGTCTCTCCCTCTCTCTGCCCCTCCTCCGCTGTCTCTCAAAAAAATTTTTTAAAAAAGAAAAACCTAGAGAAGAAAATACATAAGATACCAAAAGCACAAGCAATAGAAGACCGCTAAGTTGGACGTCGCCAAGATGGAAAGCTTCTGTACTTGAGTAGACACCGTCAAGAAAGGACGAAGTGGGAGAAGAAGGGGAAAAAATATTGGGGCCAGGGAGAGAGACAAACCCTGAGAGGCTCTTGAACGCTGAGGACAAACTGAGGGCAGATGGGGTGAGGGGGAGGGGAAGGGGGGGTGATGGGCACGGAGGGGGGGCACGTGTGGGGATGAGCACTGGGTGTTATGTGGAAACCAACTTGACCATAAACTATTCAAAAAGTACAAAAAACTCACAAAATGGGAGAAAAATCTGCAAATAAGGGACTTGTGTCTACGATATATAAAGACCTTAGAAATCAACAGACAACCTGATTAGAAAATGGGAAAAGGATTTAGGATATACCACTGGCTAAGAAGCACATGAAAATATACTGAACGCCTTAGGGAAACACAAACCAAACTCACAACGATTACTGCCTCACGCTCACGGGGATGACTGTAATAAAGGACAATAACAAGGGGCGGCCATGATCCAGAACGCCTGGCTTCCCCTCATGCATGGCTGGTCGGAGTTGACAATGGCGTGGCCACTTTGGAAAACAAGTCTGGCAGGTCCTCAAGATGTTGACCTTAGTTAACTCTAGAACCCAACAATTCTATTCCTAGGTGTTTATGCAACAGAATAGAAAAACATCAAAAAACCTGTACAGACGCCGGGGCGCCTGGGTGGCTCAGTCAAGTGAGGGACTCTAGGTTTTGGCTCAGGCTGTGATCTCACGGTTAGTGAATTCGAGCCCCGCGTTAGGCTCTGCTGACAGCGTAGGGCCTTCTTTGGTTTCTCTTTCCCTCTCTGCCCCTCCCTCCCTGCTCCCTCTCTCTCAAAACAAGTAAACTTAAAAACCTCTTTTTTAAACTTGAACACAAATGTTTTAAAAGCATTTAAAACTAAACAGACTAAAAAGG